AAGTGTGAATTTGAATACCAGATACAGGCTATTTAAAGCTGAATTTATCTTTAATAAATTCACCCAGAGGTGTTCAGCAATGGGGAGTTTGGAAAATGATCATAATTTGTGCAGAAGAGTATTTTCCTAAAGGTTGAGTACTCTGTGATTGGGGGAAGAAGTAGATTCATGAAGTTCGTCTGTAATAATGTTTCTGTTTCTTCAGCTCCCGCCACGACAGAGGGCAGAGTATTTTGATAATTGCTTCCGATGCCTGAAAGGCAAAGGGATCTTCTATTCCATGTGATGTAAGAACTGACTCGAGAGCAAATAATTCATAAATATTTTCTTGATAAGATGTGTTAAGGCAGTGGGTATCTAGGACCAAGGGTTATCAATCTTTGGGGTTTCTAAGAGGAATTGCAATTTATGACGTGTTAGGTTAAACAGTTGGATTACATTTCTGAAGTGCATGTCCCATCAGGTAAAATCATTGTGACTACAGGCAGTGGAACTCAAAGTCAATTCTGTGGCTAAAGGTTGAAAATGTAAAACAAGTATGCTTGTGCTTACAGCTAATCCCTCTCTGTACCTCTGCTGAATAAACTACAAGTAAAGGGGAAGAAAGAATGTTTAAATAATAAAACCGAAAGAGTATATTATGTCACGTCGATAAATAATAAATACTCAAACAGCCTGAGGAACTATTTCATCAGTGGCCCAGTCATGAGAGAATATCCCAGAATTTGAACATCGTGAAACATTGCACAGAAGTTATTTTAGTTGAAATTTGCTTCTTTTTTTTTTTTTTTTAAAGCTCTGCTAATTTCTTTATTTTCTGATGCATCCTTTAAAAGCCTGGGTTTTCATTTTAACACCCAGGCTCCATTGTTCAGAACGGTGTTGCTTTTAAAAAAGCAAAAGAAGCGAATGGTTTTAAGAGCTTTGCATATGTTTGACAGCAGAAGATAATAAATGTAAATAAATCTTTAATATTTCCCCTAATTCAGTTTGTGCCATGCAAATGTCAGGACTAGAAAAACAAATCAACAAACATTTGAAGGAAAACAATATACATAACTTATTTTATATATTAAAAACAACTGTCAAACAATTATGACCTCATGTACTAGTTGCTTGTTTTGAAATATCCCTACTAGAGTTAAAAAATGCTATGAAGGCCTTTGAGCTTCCACATATTGTGTCAATCAGGAGCATATGTAATACATCTAAAGCATGAGGTAAAAATTTTCTTCATAAATTATTTCGTAAATAAATAATTTGCTTGAAAAAGTTTACAAAAATATTTGTGCTTTTATTAAGTTCTGTACAGATCTTCTGCGGTGAATGTAAATGGACTGATACAGACAGCATGGTGATCTGCTCTCTCCTGACTTGAAATGTAAGAAGTAACATGAAGACATTTTCATTTCTCAGGCAAACTTCAGTAAAATTGAGCCCATGAAACTTCATTCATTAAACTTTTAAGTGAGCATGAATTTGTTGGCTTCAGTACCTGAAGTGTAACTTTATCCTTTCAATTAAAGGCCGTAATTCACCCTTAGACCTTTGGCTTTAATTTTTCATATAACATATAATTTTGGGTACACTTAATGGTCAGATTTTGTATTATTACAGGTGGAAAAACACCAGCCCCTCAAGGGTTTTGTGCTTGCAAAAGCATGTAATTTAATTTTTTTGAACCAATTTAATCAGTGATTATTTCATGTGAGTAAATTTACACTCTTGACGATTGCCCTAGACTTGAGGGTGATGGGGTAGGGAGATCACTTCCTCTTTTAAAATGTCATTTAAATCTTGGGGAGCAGCAGGAGATTAGGGGACTAATCCTTGTGATAAATGATACTATTTAACTTTGCTAAGATGCTATAGCAGCAGATTTTATCAGTCAGATACCAGCTTCATAAGTTTTAGGTGACATTAACCCTTTAAAAACAATCTGACTATTTGGGTACATATTTCAGAATTTATTTGACCTAATATTTTAAGTGAATCATGGCTAAGGAATGTTTCATTCCAAGCTTTATTATTTTTCTGAATAAAAATGCTTCTTGCTGTGCTGTGCATATTTCCACAAAAGTCTGCGAGTTAATTTATGGCTTACAAAAGAAAATAAAAGGTCTATATTTAATATAGGAATTTTTTTTACAGAGGAAATCGGTGGTGGACAGTATTAAGTAACTCCAGAGTGGAAATATGCAGGTGGTCATTAGCAGTAGACTGTGAGATTTACCGAAGATTTTGATGTTAATTTTCCCTGCGTGCAGGGCTATACATAAATCTGTTCTCTCAAACTAATTTAAATTGATGAAAACATATGAATAACTATGCATATAAGGTTCATTGTTTTCTCCCTCCTTTAGGGAATATATTGTTTGCCTCATTGTGAAGCTGTATTTTGACTACTCTTTCACCTGACTAGTTTCTCTATTGCAAAAGAATTACTGCTTTTCTATTCATAAAGAGTGTATGAGGCATACTACCGAAAAACTTCTGGAATAAGTGTGTTGCAGAAAGAAATCACATAGCTGTCTGTGTAGTTATATTAAGTAAAAATAATAACCTTACAGAAAAAGGAGTGAGATTCTAAAGGCATGTTATTTCACTTTTAATTTTTTATGACTTTTTTTCACTTCTGATAATAGCATGTTTCGAAAACACACTCATCTCTAAAAAGATGCAAGAATCATTTAGTGAAAAATATTTTGGAGGAAATTACATCTTCAGCTCCCAGATTCATGATTTCTACCTCTCTAAAATTCTAATTTTAATCATTTCGTAGTTTAGAGAAGCAAGGATGTTTCTCCTTTTAGCACAAAATGAGTTTAAACTGACTCTCACCAGAGGAAAAACACGTCACTTAAAGTCACCCAACTGAAGAAAATGAAGTCCAAACGCCTAAGAAATGTTTACTTAGCTTTTAACACCTCCTTATACTTCGAATGCTGTCATGGTAATGTTGTGTGCATTGTTGATCTTTAGAAGTTAAAAAAGAAAAATAGCTCATTTCAGTGAACTTTATGTGGAGCCAATTTCTCCTAGCAAGGAGCGTCTTTGGAGGCACGAAGTAGAGAGAGAATGTCGTGCCTAATTCCCAGCTCCTTATCTGCCCGCAAACCCCACCGGGCAGCACCCCCACTTGATCCACTCTGTGGTACCCCTCGAGCACCCACCCAGCCCCCGGCTTCCCCTGCTCTGCTCACAAAACCATGGCAACCCCACCCCGCTCTTCTCCAAGTGGGGCTAGAGTTCAAGTTGTCCGGGGCTGGCCGTCCAGGGCACGGGCAGCCCCGAGCGCGGCGAGGGGTCCGTCCGCGCACCCGGCCCCTGCGGCTCCCCGCGCCCCGAGGCGCAGTCGCCGCTCCGATGCGCCCGCTCCCGGAGGGCAGCCCCTCGGGGGCCGGGCCCCACGCCTCCCCCGCCCCCAAGGTGGGTCCCGCCCGGCCGCCCCCACGGGCCCATTGATC